AAAATAGTTTAATTATATATATTGATTGATGCTAAATTATTATATTTAATGACTTTTTACAACTAAAATATTATATCATAAAATATTTGTTGAGAAATTCACCCTTTTACAATAATTGTTGATTTTAAATTTATTTTTTAAAGTGATTATATTTGTTATTAAATAGAATTTAAGATAACAAACACTTTAGTTACGATATATTTTTTTTTAACCTAATTTTGTAGTTAGAAAATATATTTTTTAAAACAGTCATTGATATTTTTATATATTTTTTAATGTAACTATTAATATTATTATTAAATTATATTTTACAAAACAGTGGATGACGTTGTTTAAGTTATTATATAATAACCAAATATTTTTGTTGTTAAATCTTATTTTCTAAACTAATTTATAAAGTTAGGAAAAATCCTTTTTACCAACATTTTAAATGGTTGCTGTAACAGTTTTTTTACAACAATTATAATAGTTGCATAATAAATATTTTACCAACAGTCCAACATGGTAGAGAAAATATATTTTTTACAACATTCATTAGTATTACTAAATCATATTTTACAAAACAATGAATGACGTTGTTGAAATTATTATATGGCAGCCACACATAATTGTTGCTAAATCTCATTTTCTAAACTAATTTATAAAGTTAGGAAAAACCTTTTTTTACCTACATTTTAAATGGTTGCTGTAACAATTGTTTTACAACAATTATAATAGTTGCATAATAAATCTTTTACCAACAACTCAACATGATAGAGAGATTTTTATATCACATGTAGCAGGCTTGTCCCCAATACTATTTAACCAAAATAATTTATGATGTAGAGAAATTTCTTTTTGGCAATAATTGTAATCGTTGTGAAAATACACTTTTAATAATGACTAATTTAGTTGTATAATTTCTTTTTTGTAACAACATTTTTTGGGTATTGAACTTACTTTGCATAACAACTTATTTTTGTTGTAAAATTATACTTTAGGTAATGACTTATGATGTTGCTATAAAATAAGTTTAGTAATGATAAATATAGTTATTAAAAATTAATATGACAACCATTATTATGTTGTTGCTATTGTTCTTTACTTACGGATATATATCGTAGGTATTTTGTTTTACTTACAATTTTTTTGTTTTACTTACAATTTTTTAAATGTAGGTATAGGTTCATTGATCTTTTACCTACGACATATAATACTGTAAGAGTATGTACATTTGCGTAGTTAATTATCTATAGTTACAGGACATATAGTTACACTTTTTTCTCCGTATGTATAGGCCTCGAACGGGATATACCTACAGATTTTGACCATATACATACAAATTTTGTCCGTAACTAAATGGCAAAAATGCTGTAGTGAAACTTAAATAGATGGTCCGTTAGTATTAACCACCTAAGACATTCAATAACAATTATCATTAGATGAC